AATAGGAAGTGAAAGGTGGTTGCCTGGGGCTGTGGGAAGGGAGAAATGGGGATTGCTAAACAAGGGGCATAACGTTTCAGCTGAGCAAAATGGATAAGTTTTGGAGATCTGCTGTACAACACTGTACCTCTTGTCAACAATAATGTATTGTTTACTTAAAATTTTGTTAACAGGGTAGGTCTCATCTTGAATGTTCTTATCACAATAAAATAAAAAAAATTTAAATACAGTAGTGAAGTCTAGTCTTAAAAATGAAAAAATTATCAAGACTACTCCAAATATATATTTTTTTAAATTTAAAAAACTCTTTAATTTACAACCCCCCCAAAATAAACAGACAAATCAGGTTTAAACATAGTTTTTAAAGGAACATATTCATTGTGTAAGACAAATGCCTAGCTTCACCCTTGAAAATTCTAATTCAGTAGGTCAAGAAACAGGGGTGGGGAGATTTGGGAACCTGTATTTCAAAAATCTTCACTTAAGATTCTAATACACAACCACAAAATGATCACTGCTTTAAAGTTAAGCACACTGACATTTTGAATTTATGTTAGGAAATAAAGTAAAAGCCCACAGACATTTATTTTTCTTATCTCTCCCCTGCAAATGTAACTCTAAAATAAAGAATTTTAAAAAGCTGAGTACAATACTTAAGAGGGAAAAAACCTACAGAAATATAATAAAGTATGAAGAATCTTGAATTAACCCCTCACCCTGCAATTCTGGGAAAAGCTTGATCTCCCTGATTCCCAACCCCCCAAATGCAAATGTAAGTGTCTTGTGGGAACGTGTAGAGTATTTAGGGTTTGAAGCTAAAAGTTCAGGGAAGGAGGTCTATTTTGTCATATCCCTTCATGCCTATATATTATTTTCCTTTACAAAGTGTTGCCTCATTGATCCTCCCAATCAAAGGGAGGTCAACTGGAAAGGTGTTGAGATCACCTGGACATCACCTGGAAAGGAAGCTCAGAGAGAGCCTACATTCATTGCATAGAGTGCCAAAGGACTGAACCCAAGTCTTCATACTTTATTGTATTTCTATTGGTTTCTTCTCTATTACCTAGTGACATTGACAATGGGCCAGAGAGAAGACACATTGTCTACTGGTTTTTACTTTATCCCTTAAGATGGCTTTATTCTCTGCATGGCTCAGTACCTGGGCAGCGGCCACCTCATAGCCATCTGGGTTCATGGAAGGCATGATATGAATGCGCGTGCTCTCCACCAGCTGGACAATGCGCTGGTTCCCATTCCGGAACTCTTCGCACAGGAACTCCGACAGCTGCAGCAGCAACTCACGGCCTAGCACCTCGTTGCCATGCATGTTCCCCACATACTTGACTTCTGGTTCCACTGCAAGCATGAGAAAAACATGCAGGAAGATAAAAAATGGGGAAAGCTCGCAAGTGCCAAAGAGAATCTCCGGCTTTCATCGGGTCTTTTCCAATAATAATAT